TTAAATTGAGGCAGACTAACAATTATGGCAGGGAAGAGGAATGGGAATAGCACTGCTTGCTGTAGGACAAAATGATCGCAGGAGGTTTGCAGCATGTGCGGCTGAAGGTTAAATATCTTGTATGGGCACTAAAAGAATTTAACGGTTCTCCATAAGCTCATCAAAGACCATAATCTGTCTGCCGTTTCATAGTCCAGATTGACAACCACAGTTCAGCTCCAAACAGCAGCCACACTTAGAGGGGTATCTGCCCTCTGTAAGGACTACAAAATGCATGTCTGCAACAAAAGGGGGCAAATTAAAACTCCTTATGTCCAGTCATACAGAGATGCATTTCATTTCCTGGTGTAGGTCTTTTACATTCCCTTACATGCCTTCGTGGCACCACAACCATACGCTCTGAATGAAAAACTTGCTCTACTCTCTTGCCTTCCCATCTCCTCACCTGCTAGATCTGGATTCAAATGAGAAAATCTTCTCATGAAAACAAGTTGTTCACTAACCCTTGATACCATATAAAGTATTTTGTGGTTTTTCTGATACTTAGGTTTCATAGCATTGCACTACAGTTGTGGTAACAGCACTTCAAAGCACTATGATGTATATGCTATAGCTCTTTATTGCCTTTCTTTTTCTTTTTTCCTATCAGAAAGCAATAAATCTAAGCAATAAATACATGTTGGTTTAGGTGTATGTGAAAAGTCATAGGGGTAGTAGAGTGATACGAAAAGCAGGACACTGGTTAATCCCTGAAGTTCTTTGCAGTCTTTATAAACATTTATCTGAGTGAATTTTATGAAACATAAATTGGATTTAAGGTGCCCAACGTCCTACTTTAACTGTACAAAGCAGAGCTCATTCTAGCACCGGTAGCTTCCCCGGCAGTCCTCCACAGAGCCCCTCCAGCTTTCACCCCGCTGTCACAGCAATACAGGATCATCAAGGCTCTCAACAAGCAATTTTCTCTCTGCCCACTCACCTGCCACTTGAGTGCATGAAGCAGTAACCCAGCATATGACCAGCAATCTGCAAAGGTGCTCAGTGTCCTCCTTTTAAGACATGAATGCCTGAACCTCAGAAGAGCTCATCCCAGCCGGAATATGTTGGTATAAATGAAGCTGAAAAACAAAAGCTTGGTTCCAGCTTTAAAAACAACGACCTGCAACACCTACAACAGAGCATCGAAGGTAGAGTAGTCACCTCGGTACCCAGAAAGTTGCCTGAGTTTTGGGTTGGGTTCTCTGAGTGGCTGAGGGGGGCACTATTTTCTTTTTGAAACAAGGATTCAAGTTTCTGTGCATCCAGTATGGACAATGTTTAGGCACTTTGGATTTTGGAGGTTTTTTTTTTTTGGACTCTTTGTTTGGTCTGGGTTCTGTGTTTTTGCAGTTTCTTAATGCTGCTAAGAAGCTATAGGGATAGTATTTCACAGTGGAAGACAGATTAGTTATTTCTGGTCTTTAAAAAACAGATAAAGTAAAATAACTGCAAGCATCTTCTTGGCCATCATGGAAAATACTCTTGCACTAGTGCAGTACAAAGGCCAAAACCAAGGACAACCTTCCAGTGGCTGGAAGAGGGAGAAGGTTACAGAAAGAGGATCTGAACAGATAACTCCTCGCAAGGCTCAGGACTGTGGGGCATTCACAAGAGAAAGTGTGAATTCTCACATATTCAAAGAGCAGGAGAGGCAGGTGCCACCTTGAACTGACCTGCTGAAGTTTCACCATAACTGATTAAAGGCTGCTTATTTCTGCAGATTATGAAAAAGGACAGGGAGATGAAGGGGCAACAAGCTTAGCCAGTGTTAATGTTTTGTGTGGAACACATTTAGCTACCTTATACCACAAAATGTTAAGAACTTTTGACATGGTTTTACAATTAACTAAAAGCTATTTCAATTGGTGAAAATAAGGACTTTCTGAAAAGAGTCTGTGAACTCTGTGAAGATTCAGCAATGAAAGTTGCATGAGGGAATGGCTTTCAAGCATGAATGTTAATTACAGTCCCCACCATGAGCTGATGCAATACATCGATTTATATTTTGTATTATTTTTGTCTGCGGCATCTAACAGTGTGCCGGAAGGAGCGTATTTATGCGGGGCTCCGTGGTGGCAGCAGTGATGACCAGAGGCCCACTCAGAAAGCTGAGCACTTAATTTAAAGAGAGTCTTTGCTTTGTGGAAGCAATTACGAGGACAGCAGTAGGAGGCATGTGGCCACGTAGTCACAGCGACTGTGTTCATCTAATAGGTACCCATTAATACCTTGCAGCTTAGTGTGAACGAGAGCTCCTTGCTGCAGACCAGCCCTTAAGTATTTAAATACCCAAGCCCCTCTTATTGAAATGCCGGAGAGCCTAAGCTGCCCTCTGCATGGTGGCTATTGTACATTTTCCTCATGATACTGCATTACATTTCATCCTAATTAGCACTGCTAACTGTAGTCTTAGTAAAGAAACGTTGGATTAGAAAATACGAGACTGGGCGCCCATGTCCTCTCCTGAAGGGACTAAATCAATTCCAATCCTGAAGTATTCCCAGAGCTGATTTAATTTGGCCTCCTCCTCTAGATGATGGCAGCAACACAGAATGAAGTTGTTGCTCTTGTTACTTGTGTTTTATTCTGGAGTTTTATGCATTTGGAGTGTCGTCAGGTTAGCCCTTCTTATTAGCCCCCAAGTAAAGCAAACACAATTTTAGTAGCAAAGAAATTAAAGGTTAGTCAATAAATTGCAGTCACTTCCAATAAATAAAGATGAGAAACATTTTGTTGTGGCATTAGGAATGAATGTTTCCTGTGGCAAAATTGATTTTTTTTATTGAAATCAAATATATAATTAAGACATTATTATGCACAGAAAAGGTTAGAAACCTTAACATCTTTTGTCCATAAGCCAAATATTATACAGCCTTGGTTTTCATGCTGTGAGTTGCCCATTACTGCTCTGCCAGTAATTTCAGCCTGGCATCTAGACTAAATTGCCTCCCTTGGAGCCAAGAGGAAACATAGTTGATATGAGATCTCAGGTATAGGTCTTTCTTGAATGAAAAAAAGCGCCGTCATATTCTATGAAATTACATCTGCTGGGTCTATGCAGCGATCATCCCTCAATGAGGGAGGGAGCAGAGTTCACCCAAGTTACGGCCACAGCTGGGTTTTTGGAAGGAGCTAGGTGGGATTTTACACCCTCTTCCAGCTTCCTTCAAATGTGTCTCAGGTCCAGAGTGGACCTGAAAACAAGGCAGTGATTATGATGTGTCCACACAGTAATTTTAGAATAAGTGTATTAAACAGCACTTGCGCAAAACGCCAGAATTGCCGGGTGAAGATGGCTAAGCACCTCCGAGCAGTGGAGTCTGTGAATAGCAGCGACCACAGGCAATGACCAAACATGGGTCGTTCGATTCCAGACACGCAGGACACTCATCCTCTTCCCTGGAAGCGAAGGGGAGGAGGAATCGCGGCCAGTGCGGCAGCCCATCTTGGCAGGACCTTAGAGATGCCATCGGGGTGTCAACGAGGTCAATCTCGCTTGAATCTCCTGTTGGCTGGGTGCTCCTTGCCCACGTGTCACGAAGCGGGGCATGGAGCTGCCTCTGCAACCAAGGCCACCAGTGGACAAATCTCTGCCACCGCACAAGGAGGTGTCGGAGAGCTAAAGAACCTATTTCCTCTGCTATTCATTGCCGCTGGCCAGGGGAAGTAGGCAAGACACGTGCCACTAATCTGAAGCCAGACACTGGAATGGGGAGCAGTGGCACCTCTCAACATCTGAAATTTCCAGAGTGGCAAGTTTTTAAATCCATTGTAGGTCTGGGTGAAACCATCCTTTCTGCCTCTTTTTTTTTTTTCTTTTTTTTCTTTTTTTTTTCTTTCATTGCTGCAGGGCCTGTTGCCACCTCAGCCTGAGCTCCGTAACTGTATGCACTTTTTCTATTCCATTCTTCATTTCCTTAAAGAGCTGATTCACTGTGATTTATTAGGTACAAACTAAAAAGCTAAGTATTTTTCGGGATGTGAGTTGTAG